TTTTTCACTTTGTCGACAACAAAATTTCACAGCGGAATGTTAAGCGTAAAAAGTGTTTAAAATGTTGATCTGTGGATCGTGAGAGAAGAGCTTTTTGGCGCAATAGATGATAGTTTGAAGGTATCTGAGTTAAAGGAACTTATTATAAAAAGTAATGAATCTATTAAACTTTTCAGCATTTGAATAACTTACGTATCTGTTACAGTGTTCAAAATTTTTTCTTAACATTTTTTTTAATTTTAAGCTTGTTTTTTAACATTCTATTTGAAACTTAACTTTAGCATTCTTCCAAGCAAAACATGCACAATCAAAAATAAACCATATAAATATAAAACTAGCAACATATATATATATATATATATATATATAAGACAGTTCACATTGTACACAACCTCCCGATATAGTCCTTTGGCAAAGTGAACTCAGGGGGAGACGAGTAGGTCCAATATCACTACAACAATTTCCACTGAATACAGGTTATTCAGTGGAAATTGTTTGATAAATGCTTTCTTTGATAAATGCGTTTCATAATTTTGTCGATGTTACTGTGTAGAGTAAAACACATTCATCAAGTATTCGCAGTATTTTTCAATATTTTTTTGACTATTTAGTAACTGAATAAAAACATTTTTAAATTTAATAATACCAGTGTTATCAAACCAACATAAGAATTTCTTTATTAGGCATTATTTTTTTAATATATGTAGGATAAAATAATAAGTAAAATATGTGCTGTGTGGTTATAAGAAAATATTCTCTTACAAAAAGTTTATCTTTGTCAAAAAATTTCATATCGCCCGATAAAGAAATCTGACTGTTTCGTTTTAAATTATAATTTTTAATTTAATTGAGTAACTATGTAATACCTGAAACTCCACTTCGGATGTCACTCCAATAAGGTGTTGAAAACGTATTATTATTAGTATTCCATAATTCAATACAAGTCCAATTTGGCTTCCTGCATTAACTAAAGCCAGAAGTACATATTAAAAATTATTTATTTTATAAACTATAAATATATAAATATATTCACTCACCTGCTTTATTTGAAACACCTAAAACGATAACAGTGATAATTAGATTTATGAAACAAATGATATTACCGTATATGGAAAGCCATCGATTTAATGCCATGTAAAGAAACCACGTTGCAGTGTGGTTATCCTGATACTTATTAAACATAGATTTAAATTTGCTGTCAGCATTAAATGCTCTAATTGTTGTTAGTCCGTAAAGAGATACACTCAAATGAGAAAATACTGGACTTCTCACTGTGAAAAAAAGAAATCAATAATTTAAGCGAAGCTGTATTTAATATAATAATTATTATCTTATTACTTTTAAAAATCAACCAAAACATTTTTATATGTAAGTAGCAAACTTCTGGTCGCATTTGCATGTAACTTAAAAACGCAAGCAGAACTTTTGTCTGTTTATGCAAAGAGTAATTGAAATAGATTTTATCTAAAATATGTCAAACCAAAAACCACAAAAAGTATTAAACATTGTAATAATTTCTCGCAGAAAAGAATAGCAATATTTCCTGTAGTTAATTTCTGAACGAAATCTATTTCACTACGACTACTCATTATGGTCAAAATGTTGATAAATTGCTGTTGGGAGCTCTATTGGGATAAAAAGGCTATCCACAATCGAAAGTACGTTAAAACTGCTGAAATTTTTTGGTTTGAAGCTAACAAGATGCAACCTGTCAAACAGCATGGTATTGCTGTATGAATTTCAATTTTGTGGATCATTATATGCGTCAAATATCTTTATTACAAAAATAGGGCAAGGAGATGCATATTTTTCCCGCTGAAAAATCTTTATGCCCAGCAAACACTAAAATATTTCAGAAATAATTTAGAATTGTGTGTGACACAATTCTAAATTATTAAAGGAGATATTATATTAAAAGCATTTATATTATCAATTAGTCTGAAATATTGAAATGTTAAACATGGGTTAAAAAACAAAATTTAGCATGGGAATTTATACACAATTCGCATTGATGCTATTACTTTTGATGAATAAAGTATGAAGAACGTGAAAGATTTGTCATTTCTCGATGGGTAAAAATATAGTAGAAATTTTGCTCGTTATTAAAATAAAAATTTTTAAAGCTCTTTTTTTACTCTTACATGATCTTAATTTCGAAGTATTAAACAAAACAGATATTAAAAAAACATACCAAAATTTCCAAACACACAAATACACACTCCAGTATTCACTAAGTTTGTTGTGCATGAAACATCTGTACCTACAAGAACTCAAAGAAGTTTGAGTTCAATTCAAAAGCTTTCTTTTGGTCTTTACTGCATTCAATAAAAACAAAGTGTTTTTGTTAATAGTAATACAGTATATTGTATCTATTATGGTAATAATAATTTATTATCGTATGTATAAAAGTGCAAACTAAATGCTTAAGTCAACTTTATTCACATTATGTCTAAGTATACATTGATGTAATTGATAATTTCAGAAATTACCTTTTATAAGGAGTTTCTATTTGTGCTATGTTTTGATAATGGTAGCACTTTCGAGTTTGAAAATATTGTCAAATCAAAAGTCCACCAAAGGTTAAACTAATATATGCCAATTAAAAAGACACAATAACAATATTCACTTTAAAATGTCCATTGTCTGTGTATATAACAACTTTGAATAAATTTTAGAAGTTTCTGTATATGGGGTAGACCTTAATTCTAGTTTCACTAAAACTGTTCAGATTCTTAAACTGATAGGTTATTCGATTGTTATTAAAAATTATGATACTTTATTATGTGACCATAGGGTCAGTGTCTCTTTGACACCACGTCAGGATGTGACACCACCGAGTCTTTCAGGACTCGGAAATCGTGACTTTACATTACATGAGCAGTAGCATGTGAAAGGTGAGATTCGGAGTAGAGGTGAGGAGAGAGACAAGGTAGTGACTCACTTAGATTCCATATTTTCTAACAAATAACAATTTTAATAAGAACCAAAAAAAATGCAGATATATTCGATTTCTGGTATAGCCCCCTAATTATACTAGGCCGTTCAAGAGAGAGAGTTTACAAACGAATCGCGGGTTGATAAATACCTTTCTTCTGGGTCGAAAATCTGTCATAAGATGAAACCACCGATGGAATGTTCAATCAAATTGTTCTGGATCTTGTCTGTTTACAGGAGCACAGAGATGTGGAGGCACGGAAGTGGGGATGATATCCTTAAAGAGGCACGATCTTTGTCACGGTATTAATCCAGGAGGACGACTTTGGTGGACAGACGTTGGAAGATGACTGACTTCAGTTATTTTTTCCATTCTCTCTTGTTATTCCTCTTGGATTTTTTCCATGAGGTCAGGTGGTCATGGTTAAGGGTCTGGCGTCCAATATATACACTCTATCAAAAGTTCCAAGTGACATCACTGACTAACTGGAGCCTCCTCAACAAGGAACTAACTCCATGGAAAATAATTTTTATGGTTTTTAGCCTAACCTGATAAAACGAAGTTAGATGATTGAATTTCCCAATAATTAAAATTTAAAATAACACTTTATTTTGGGTCTGCTCGTCCCTTACAATTATATACTACTTTTTATTGGGTAAAGATGCTGTTAAGCATTTCAAATTGACATCCAAAATCAATTAAATATTTTATTGAATAAAATAGTTATGTAGAAATAAATATAAATACTATTTCTGATAATTGTAGACATTGTTGCTATATTTGTGAGGAGAAGTTTGATAGTGATGATATCAGAGTTATGGATCACATGTCACTTTTGTGTAGCTGTATAATAGCTGTAACTTAAATTATAGTTTCAAAACCTTTATTTCTATTATGCTACATAATTTTACTATTTATGATTCCCATTTGATTTTCAAAAATATCAAATGGAAAATCAAAACAATACTTTCATAATGAATTATTTGGAAAAAGTCTTTGCAATGATGATTACAACCAGGTTAAATTAATTTGAGAAAACTTTTGTTGTAAAATGTTCAGAGATTATTTAAAATTATATCAATATGCAGACANTCGTAAGCAATGAGTTTAGGGGCTACAGACATGCAAAATTCTGAAGTTTATTGGGGTTTTTTCACCACAATGGGCAAGATGAAAACTTCCAGTGTTGAGGAACAGAACCGCTTATCTCACTAGTGTGTCTATAGATAATATTATATTATACACAATATTATATTGTATTTGTAAACATTTTTATAAATAAAATACAGATAAAAATGTAAAAAAAAACAATTTGTTCTAAGCTTCTGGTACAGAGTAATACATTTTACATTGTTTCTTATGCGCAAATTTGTTTCGGTTTGAGAAAAAATCGCTTTCCGTATAACTTCCTGTAATGAATTAAGTTCGTAAATCGAAGATTGAGTGTATTTGATTTTCTCTTAAATTAAATGATTTTTTAATATAAAGTGGATATATTAATTAACACATCTCTTATTTATTATCAAGATATAATTTTATGGAGATTCGTATACAGTTGTTAAATAAATACGTAAAACTATTAGTCTCACAATCAGAATTGTTGTGATTTATTAAAGTTCTTCATTAAAGTTAAAATGCAATTCATTAAATCATACATATATTTTTGAAACTTTCTATGAAGCATGAAAAGTAGTCGTTTCGTGTCTTTAATATATTTTAAAAAGTATATGTTCGTTTAACTTAGACCATCAGAAATTTTCATATTTCGAATTGCTGGTTTTAATTTATTAAGAAAAAAATAATCGTGTTTCAATATTCATAAATGTGACTTTTTCGAAAAATAATCACATTACATTTCACAAGTTATTTCACATTACTTAATAATAAGGTTTTTCAAATTACATTACACCTTCTGGGCTTAGTAATCTGCATCGATATCGACGTGTTTTATCATAATTAACAAATTAAGTTTTCGTACAGAAAAGCAAATAAAATCATTTTATCATGAAAAAAGTATAAAAATAATTAAATATGAATTATGCATATCGAATAAATTTTTACTTACTTGAGGAATGATGGATATTTTACTACGAAGATCTCGAAGTCCAATATCTTTAATATCAACACCATCGATGGTTATCGTTCCTGTAGGCTCTGTCATGCGAAATAACGCAGCAATTATAGAACTCTTTCCTGCTCCTGTTCTCCCAACAATTCCTATCTGCAATTAATTTATAATATACATCAATTCAGAAAATAATTATTAACAATACTCTTCCAATTTGCAGATGTTTTACCTTTTCTCCAGAGTGAATATGAAATGTTAAGTTCTTTAACACAATATTTTCATCCTTGGTGTATTGCAAAGAGACATTATCGAAATGAATTTCTCCTTTTTCTGGCCAATCAGAGGGAGGCCGTTGATTAGGCAAACTTTCATAGGATGCTTCCGATTTCAAATTGCTGTATTTCAGAATGCGTTTTACAGAGTTCATCTGGAAAATTTACTTTTTATGAAATAACAATTACATTATCCAGAAAATAAATTATGCATTGCATTACATTAAATTTACGGATTCAGATATTTTGTGTAATGCTCTGGTTAATAACGTTAATACTTGGTTTTCCTTTATTTTAAGTTAATTTCCGTTCTTATTTAACCATTATATTTTTTATACGTACTGTTATACACTAAAATTTACTTTCTTCATAAAATATCAGTTTGTACAATTCGTAAATTTCAGATAATCTAAAATCTGCGTAACAATGAAAAGTTGATGTTTCAACAAGAGTCAATGTAGATATTTGTATGATCTTTCTTTCTCTTTGTAAAATGACTTTCTGGCAAATGAAAATTTAAGAAATCTTAAATTAAGTAAATAAATTCAAAATTTAGCTACTTGTAGTGACAACGATATCTGTACGTATAATGTATTAATTTGCCAAACAACATTTATTGTTACATATAATGGAATTAAAACATTTGCAAACATGCCCTTTGCAAGAAGTGGAGTTAAATAATCGCACTGCATTTTTATTTACCTTCTCATACAGTGATTTTGTGAACCAGTTTCCAAAGATAGAAACCTTATGTGACATGGTGGGCTAATTCATTAAGAAAATATGAATTACCTGTAATTTCTTTTAGGTATTCTTGCAATATTAATTAACTTTATCTAAAATAAAATTACAAATTTATTTTTAAATACACAACATTGTAGTGCACGTATTTTCTTCGGTAAAGTTATTTAAAGCTAGTTTCTGATGTCGAAAACGACTTTCAATAGTTTTTTAATTTTTTTAATTAATAGATTTTATTATATATACGTTTAATTAAGT